TCTGGTGATGCTTCCCGTGTTCTCTTCCTCTGCGGCGTCTCCATTGTGAAGCAATCAACGGAGCTGTGGCCACAAATCTTGGGCCAAAGAAAAGGCCAAGCACTGCATATGTCAATCCAAACAAAACCATGGTTCCAGCCCCAATGGAGCAACCACCTTTTGAAAACAGTGGACCCACAATCGCAAGTGACTTTCCCCATGTAACAGAAGAGCATGGGTTGCCTATAGAAGCATCTTGATGCATAGCTTTCACCAATGGCACACCGGTTTTTGGTCAGATCTTCCACATGATAGGCCTCATGATGGGGGTAAACCCAATGTACAGCACGGTGTTCAATTCCGAAAGGCACAGAGACATTAGACACCAAAGTGCTGCATCAGGTCATTATATAATTCAATATCATTGCTATGGTTTCCTTTAAACTCGAAACACAAGCAGCACAGAGTTCGCAACGACTTTTGAAAATAACAAATCACAATGGTACAGGCTCAAAATCATGAATTCGCAACGACTTTCCTGTTTGGGAGTATCAGCAATACCTTCGGGAACGTCCATGTTTACAATGGACAGTTCGTAGCCGAGTTCTTATATATAAGAGATATTAATAAAGAGGTGGGCGAAGTCGAGAGAAATTGGAAAGTGCAAACCCAACCAGTGCAAGAATGACATCAAACAATCATTCAACATAAAATAGAATGCCGCTTGAGGGCTTGTCGCCAGCACGCTTCGCAGAGAATCGCATCCATCTCCCAGCATCTCCCAGCGCCAAAATCGCCGGGCTTTCGGCGCACCCTTCCAAGGCTTCGAAGACATCGGCTTTCGGCACCGAGGTCCAAATGGAGGGCAGCTGCCGAGTCTCCTGGCGAAAGCTCCAGATCAGACGTCCCATGCTTCCCATGGCGTGGAGGGCCATTCCGTGGTCTCTTCGCTCCAAAACCGCCCTGCTCTTTTCGGTCGTGACGTGATGACATGCCCCGAATAAGCAAGCCCCAACATCTCATGACATTGACCGAATAAGCAAGCAAGGCCTCCCCACGTCCAACTCTTTCCTGTGAAAAAACATCTGAGGGCTGTTCAACCTCTAGTGTTCCCCGAAAGGACATTGAAATGATGGTTGAGCATTGGATTGGCAAGGTTTGCCCCCAAGCACTTATTGAGGTCAGGTGGCAGCCAACCCCCTGTAAATAACAACCAAAAGGAAATTAGGTACTGTATTTGAATGCTTTGTCATCGGTTTTTGTGATGACAAAAATATTGTAACATTCTGAGACAGTCACTCTAAATATTTACTATATAAAAGAATGAGCAAGTTCTCGGCAATTCCATACAAACGACGAACAACTGTGCAAGCCATAAACCTAAACCTTTTCCTGTAAGAGCCTAAACTGATCATACCAAAAGTATCCATATCCCAAAGTTGATTGGTGGGGGGGCGAACCATGCATCCTCGCACGAACCCCTACCCATGTCCACAGAAACCAATGGATCCGTGTTTGGTTTTTGATCTGCGCTCGATGTCGCACTGGATCGAAGAACGCCGTGATGTTCATGATGTCCTATACTTCTCTTCCCCTAAGGATCCACATACCTTCTCAGGAGGCACTTGGGCCCTCCAAGCCTAATAAATAATCATAAATAGTCTCCAAACACCTTCTGAGAAGGTACTTGGATCCCTAGTAGCCTAGGGTTCAGAAGTGCATCCCAAACATTGAGGGATCCTCTTGGAGAACAACACCGTTCCCAAGTGCACCCCACTTGTCTCGGCCTGAAGGGTCTTGCCGCCCGGCCTTAGGCTGGGCGGGTGATGTGGTCACACGGGTCATCCCAAAATCCGGAACTTTCATGTTGCAGGTCATAGCTCTGGTTCGAACTCCGAAGTCTTACTATTCATTATGTTTGGGTGCTCCAAAAGAGCTCGGTATATCGGTTTACCATGCTTATAGTTGTATGTTTACAGTTGTTGATTTCTGATATCTCTCTCTCTCTCTCTCTGTCTCTCTCTCTCTCTCTGGCGCAAAACGCTTCCTCTTGACACACGGTCTTTTTCCGGAACGCAGGTCTGACCTGCTCAGAGCCCTTGTTCACGGGGGCCATCCAGCGGCCATGGCGGCCGCTGGCGCGCAGCACATCTTTGGAAACGTGACGAGGGGGGCGCAACTAATACCCACGGCAAACGCTAATAGGAACAAGTGCATCGCTACTAGTAACAAGTGCCTTACTAGTAGTAACAAGAAGCACGGCAAAGCCCACTCCCCGGCCTTCCCTAATCATGTAAGGAACTGTTCGCTCCGCTTCTTAGGACGCAGGAGAGCGAAACTCGCTTCAAGGAAGCTCGCACGAATCAGATTTTTAGAGAATCTTAACGATTTTTGAACCACCAGAATTATGGCCCCTCGGTCACTCCCTCGGTCTGGACCGTCCACCCGAACCAGTGCTTGAGTGTCAGACAAGCGCTGGCGGCTCAATTTGCTGTCAACCTTCTCTATCGACGCCATATCCTGGCCAACTGCTCAGCTCTCGTGGAATTCTGACAAGAAAGACCCATGGGCCATGTCTTTGACCTTCCAAATGTTGAATTCAAGGTGTCGTGTATTAATACAGTGCATTCCAGGAAGCCAGTGACTCTCGTTGATTCAGTTCATTACTTACGCCCTGTCGAATACCTGTTCGAGAATCTTCCAGCCAATGAGTGAAAAGAGACGAACATCCTACTCTGCACAAAACCGGTCCGAACCGATAGAATAGCAGGTCCCCAACCTCCACGGCGCGCCAATCTGCGCAGGCGTTTTTCTTCACCGAACACGCACGCAGACCGTCACCGGGCACCGTCGTGCCACCGGTTTCGCTCACTGGATGGCAGTGGTGTTCGCATCCACCACGACCTCACCTGAGACGCAGCACCAAGTGACGGCGCAGCAGACTCAGTGAACCACGGAGGGCCCCCGGGAAGAACCTTCACCCACGGATCCGAAGGGAGCGCGAACCAGGGTGAACCAGGTTTTAGAACCCACTCAGAGGGTCAACGGGGCGACGGTGAGCCATGGTTTTGGAGATCCAGGTCTTGACCGACCGAGCCACACCGTTGAGACCGGCGGATGCGGATGCACAAGGGAGTTGCATGAGAAGGTCGAGGTACCCAATTGACGGGGCCCAACCGGTTGATGCTCAGTGCTTCGGGCTTGTTCAAATTCACAAATCACAACCATCTCGGATCGGCTTGTCGGTGCACGAGTTGTCTTTTACTAGTTTGGAAGGTCTATTCTCGAGCCAGACTTGGTTTACAGGGCCACAATCGAGCAGTCGCTACGGGCTTTGTGCAGTGGCGATGGCATACATGGGGGCACCTGGGAGACAGAAACACATGGTACAGACTGGGCTGCACCCCTGCACCCCCGCCAAAAAAATGTTCCTTCACACTCCGACCATGTTGCAGGTTTCGGCGTTCCGTTCATCACACGGTCGCTGACCTTGCCTATGAAGGGGTAGACCTGACCTCGCCAACAACCTAGAACCCCTCAAACCCTCGGGGATACAGTCAGCTTCAAACATCTTGCAGGAGGTTCTCCTGGAGATGTGACTTACTCTTTCGATCCTGGCAAGGATTCCCCGATTTAACACCGTGCATTGTCCAACTCCCATGCCTCACAAAACACCTGACTAAACCCCCTAATTTCACCTGGGGGTTGAATGCCAGATTGCTGGTCAGCGTTAAGTTCGGAAACCAACACGTTGGGTTCAGAAACTGGAAACGTGTACGTAGGATTCGGAAACCGGCAATGTGGGTTTCAAAAACTCAACTTTGGATTCGGAAACTGGCAACGTGCCCTTCATACCGTGTTTAAACAGTTGCTCACATGAATGTCACGTCGATACCCCACCACACCTCTCAAAAGAAACGTTTTTCAATTCAGCAAAAATATGCGAGAGTTATAATATGTCTGAACCCAGCAACCCCCTTTCTGAACCCTAGTTTCTTTCTCCGGGACAGTTCCTGAACTTTACTTTGTTCCTAGTCTCTCCATCATGACAGAACTCAATCAATTGGAAATCACATGGAGGGCACAGCTGATCGGACTGCCACTGACGGGACTGGGTGGACCCACGGACTGCACGGACTGCACGCACTGCACCCGGATCGCGCTCGTGCGGTAAGGTGGTCGTGTCGAAAGGGAAAAACCCATATAGGTCAAGGACCAGAGACATCCTGTACCAGGGCCCCCCTATTCGGGGTGTCTAATTATAGCTCCTTGGAGGTGATTCGGGGTGTCCAGAAAAACCACCCCTTAGAGGGCCCTGGTGGTCCAGCTTTCTGAAGGCAGCTTCGCTTCAAGCTGCTTTCCCCCCCGACCCGTCGACCTGTCGAGTCGATCGGTGTCCGTCCCGAGGGGTCCGTGTTTGGTTCGGCCCGAGTCTCCCATGAAGGAGATGCCCGTGGAGGTCATGGGCTCCTGTGTAAGACGTGGTCATGGGCTCCAAAATACAAGGCCTGGTGCATCCCACCAAGTGTGTCTGTGTATCATATCATATATATATATATCATATCAAATATCATATCATATCATATCATATCATATCATATATATACTGTGTATATATATATATATATATATATATCGAAAAAGAAAAAGGTGAGGTAGGTAGTGAATGCCGAGCTTGTTGCAATGTCTGGTAGATCCTGTGGGTGCCCTCTCCCAAACACACGTTCCCCTTACAAATAGGTTCAACCAAACCATAATGAAAGGAAAAGCCGAGTGGAAAACTCCGGAGAAATGATGTTCCTCGCATACATTCGCAATGTATGTGAATGCTGCAAATGCCTTCATGTTGAAGGAGTGCAACCAGTAACCAGCTCTTCATTGTGCATCATCGGGCTGAGGGTCGAATCCCTCTACCACTCATCTTTATTGAGACCCAAACCCCAGAACTGAACTTTCACACTCCACCACAGTCTCTGCATGCAACACGGACCGTGTTTTCCTGTGTCCGTCCGGGTCCTGTGTCATGGGGCTGCCATCCGCTCCATCAAACACCATGATTGCGTGCCTCGGCCCGGTCGTGATTCACCCGATGCAGCCCGGTACAAAACCACGCAATTAATTACAGCAGTCCAATTCAGATTTGTGAACATCCACTGATAGACGACAAACTACAACAAATAATAGTTCTTGATTACACTCTGGAAGATTTACATGGAACCTGAAAACCACTGGTTTGTAGAGGAAAATAGTCTTCCAAAGGTCAATTTTCAGGTTCCATGTTAATTCTCCCGGGTGTAGCTCTAGGACCTCAGATGGGTCAAACCCCCCGGCTGCAATGGTCCATGTACGAAAGCCGCAGAACATGTTTAGGGATAGCCGTCATTCCTGTGGTTGGATGACTTTGTCCCAGAACAGGCCAGTTGTGGTTGTATATCCAATAGACGGTGGCTCAACAGGCCAATTGGATGAACGTAAAGTTCAGGGATCAAACGACATACGTTCATCCAATTGCGGTTATATATCTGGATCGTCTGAAGGGTCACCAACGGACTACCTACATGAATGGATCTTCTTAAAGGTTGAATTCCGCTGCGGATTTCTTGGAGACCACATTCCTCGAATTCTTTGTCAGTTGCCGTGACAAGCTTTGCAACTGTGCTCCCTGAATGCTGACCCGGTCAGTGTGGAGATGGACCATGATTCGCTCGAAGCAGTTGAACCTTGGCTTGATATAAGTACATGTTACCACAACTTCCAACCAAGGGGAATATTAAACTGGTGACATGCGACAATGTCAACAGTTTGTCCTCAATTGACAATGTCCAACGTATTGTTTAGGAGGGTCACTTGTTGTATATTTTCTTGAGGGACATTGTCAATTGATCTATATATCTCTTTATATAACTCTACCCTAGAAGTCCAAAGAAAATATGTTGACTGAAGTAAAGGAAATTCCTTTTCGGGTCACCTAAAGACCGTTCTCTTATGTTCTCTTAGCCTTTGACTCCCAGGGTCTATACATATATATATATATATGTAATATATACTCCCCTTTTTCGCCAACCAAGTACCCTGATCTCCTTCCATTGCCCCTGTCTATCTCCTGTCATCTTCCTGATCTTCTCGACCCAGTGGCAACCGCCAAAGACGCAGCTGCCATCAACGAAGGGCTCCAGCACCAAGTACCGTGCCGCGCCACGTGAGCTGCAGGAGACCTCGTCACCGGATCCAAGGAGAAACTGACCGGTCTGGGCGGAAAAAGAACAGGCCGGCCATGTTTATTGGTTTTTTGGGTTCCAGGACACCGTCTTGGAGCCGATGGTGATGGTGCCACACTGCGCCGTGGAGGCCAAAGGGTCCTCCGGGCCAGTGTTCGTCAGGTAGACCTGACATCGCCAAGTTCGTGTGCGCATCGCATGGTCGGCGCCCGCTGGGCGCCTGGTGGGAGGTAGAAAAGGGTTCTGGAGTTGGCGGGCTGGGTGGTGGTGAAATGTGGTGAATGGTTGCTGAACCAGGTGTGAAGTATCATTGTAAAACGTATGCAGTATGTTTCGTCCTGGGAGTTTGTGGTGTTGGGATCGTGAAGAGTCCACAACAAAATGATTATGCACACTCCGGCCAAAAGGGCAATTACAAAAATGTTAATTGTGAACTGTGGCCGCTCCCTGCTCCACGTCCAACACAACGCAAGCCACCAGCCCAACCTGAAAAGCCTAAATGACAAACCCAAATCACCAAACACTCGCACAAAAATCCTTCGAGAATCATGCCAAGTTGAGTTAGAGAGGAAAGCGTTCATGTAAGCAGGCTTCAAAGAAAACTGCACAAAGCAATGAAGGTGAGTCAGTATTTAAAATGATCGAGGGAACATCAAATAGCAGTGTTTGTCAACTTTGGGGAGCTGGGGCCCGCCAACAAGCCACATCATGCAGATTGAATGAGGAGTTTCCAAACGACATACAATACCTGCTACCTTCATGCAGGCCCCATCAACTACATGCTCTCCCTTCGGAGTGAACAAGACAGCTGCAACTTTGGGGAACTCGTTGCACCCCCCCGCACCTCCCAAAACGGTGGCCCAAAAGGAAAAAAGGCAACGGCCTTGATGCGTGCGACGCCGGCGGAGGGGATCGCCGAGACGGTGCCCACGTCCTGAAAGGCGGGCCGGCATCAGCCCGGAACGAGCTCTCAAAGGCCGCGTAGCGGCATCGGGCGCTCTCAGGGTCTTATCCAAGACCTACGATGGCCTCATCCAAAACGGTGCTGTTTCTTCTTTGCGTTGTGGATATCCCACACCACGCGACGAAAGCACCCCAGGAACCCGCGGGACCCGCGACTCACGTGGGACCGGAGCGGAGCGTCCTGAGCAGAGCCCAAGTCCCAGAAGACGGCGGTTTGGCCTCGGGATGCGTCGAGGGGATGGGTCCATCATGAAGTCTGAAGTTGCTTTGGCGAAAGCCGCAGTGGGCTGTTCTGCTATGGTTCTTTATTCTACTGCGCATCTGAATCTTGGAGTGTTTGCCAGATGGTCTCTCAAAGAAAGATCGATTCCAACATATGCGAACATGTTGCAAAAATGGTTTCTTGAAATCTTCCAAATTGACTCTGACTCTGAGAAAACGCTACTAGTAGATACTCGAAGTATCATTTAGTATCTCCGAGTCAAAAGTGGCACTTGTGGGAATCTTGCCCTCAAACATCCTCATGACTCATGCGAGACGACTTTCCTCTAGACCCCCCCAAAACACCCTGGTGCTTCCATCACGACCAAAGCATGGGCCGCTCCCAGCAGTTCCCCCCTCACCAATGGCAAACCGCTGGTCTTCCAGCGATGTGCCGCAGGTGAACAATTACCACCGACGGTACCGTGGTGAAAGGTTCTTTTCCCTTCCAAGTGGCTCTCACCCTTCTTAAAGCAGTGGCTCTTCACCGTCGTCTTCTCCACCTTGGCTCGTGGCACGAAAGCGAGGACCCTTCATAGGAACACCGTTCCCGGCGTTTTGATCGTCCTCCGCCCCTCGCCCGCCCCCGTACTCTCCGCCCCTTCCGCTCCGCGCCGTCCGGTTCCGAGGCACCAAGGGCGCCAGGGAGGTGGTGCTGACATTCATGGCCTTCACGTTCACGAAGCCACCTGAACGCAGAGGGCAGCGAGCGTGAGAGGCAGGCGAGCCACCTGACGTGTTGGCAGGTCGAAACCCGATCCACAGCGAGCTATAGACGATTCACGGTATTTCACAGTCATGTTCGCGGCCAAGTCAGTGGCACCAAGGATCCCAAAGGCTCCAACTTGGTTCATGTTGTTTGAAGCAGGACGGAATTTATCTTTGTGAGTTGGTCAAAGCAACCAGTGAGGGAGGACAAAAAAATCAGAACAAGCCTCTGCCAACCGAACGGTGGGAAGGTTGTGAGTGCATAAACAGAAGCTGGTCATGAGTCATGGGTCTATTGTTTGGAACCCCACTCATTGGCAACGTCAACAGCGGTTCTTCTGAGGGCAGTTCCAAATGACTCCTTCCGTAACCCTCCCGTTGGCCCTGGCACCAGCAGATCAAACCCTGAAACAATTGCACGCGTTGCACGAAGAATCAAAGGAACCTCAAGCATCCTTTGTGACACCTATTTCTGGCGAAGCATGGTTTGGAGCACTTATTGGAAGTTTGAGCGAGGGTATGTACACTTTTCAGGACATATGAGCGCTTTTTGGTGATGTAAATTCTAAAGCCTACTGGTTCCTGACCAGTGTCCTTATCAACCCTTGTGGGCCTTTAGGGCCCTATGGACAGGGTGGAAATCCTATATGACCTCTCCTAGTATGTGCAAATGAAATCACAAAGGTTTGGTTCTAACCTTCTGGGCGTGCTTTACAACAATTTATCCAAAAAGGGTGCCCGCAACTTGGGCGCAAATTCCCGCAACCCGGGCGCAAATTCCCGCAACCCGGGCGCAATTTTAAAAGGTGGCGGATGTTTTTTTTTTTTTCAACTTAAATATACTTAAATATTTTATATTGATACTGACGATCAAAGAAAGGGGTTGCTGGCTGCCGCTTCGTAGTGTGTGAGCGTGTATTGTGTGTGTGCATGGGATGGGTGCCAGCATGTGGCAGGGGAATGGACTTGAAGACCACATAAGGTGGAATGAAGCTACATCTGACTTTCCAGTGGTACGCTTTTTCAAGGCATGAATGCTTTTTTTGATGATGTGCAGTTTTTTTTCTGTCACTTTTTTCTGCTACGACGGAGGGTTCAGGAATTGTTGGATTTCTGTGGATTTGAACCTACGACCTTAGGGGTTCCCCGGTGCGCTTGAAGTGTGGGTGACTGCGGGGCCAAACCCCAACGAGCCATTGCACGTCTCGCCATCCAAGCTACACACATCCTGGCACTGCAGTTGTGGGCATTTCGCCAAACCTCACAGCGCGACATGAGGCAACCCGACCCATCTCACCCCTTCTGACTTCGCTGGATCTCAGGCTCGGCTCCACCCATTTGGCCTGGAAGTAAAGTGGAAGTCCCTTGGAAGACCCTTTTCAACTACAAACAAAGGGTTTTCCACTTCCATGTTAGTTCCAGGCAGTAACGCCAGGCTCGGTCCTACTACTCTTTCATGCTCGTTCCTTCGCAAAGCCATGACAATTCAGCCGTGTCCCGCCCATCCAATGACGTCACACGAGGTTTTCGGCGTTCTTCACTTGGCGACGTTTTACTACAAGTGCTCGATAAAACTGTCTGGGCGTCCAACAGACTTCTCTACACTGCTTAGGGATCTCCAGCCAGGACACCCATTGGTCAACCCTTACAGTGAAAGCCAAACAAACCACATGCCACTCCTCGCCTTGGGACATGAACTTCTTGTCCTAATGTATTTTCCTACTACGAAAGAGGCTCTGGAGAAATGCCCATGACATTGCTCTGTCTGTACATACCTCTATACTGCTCTAACAACAACATGTGTTGCCACTTCCAAGTCCCGCCCAATTCACAATGGTGTCCTTCCCAGCGACCCACAGGCAGATCGTGATAGTGCAACTCATCAAATGCTTCGGTGCCGGGGGTCTCGCTGGCATTGCACGAGAAGGCATCAACCTTCTCTTCCTTGGCAGTGAGAGGACGTGGTTCAACGATGAGAGCAAAGGGTGAGAACGAGCTGAAAGTCGTTTTAGTTTGTTTCTTCGACTTTGGGCTGTCTGAGCGGGATTAAACTTGCAATATGGTCGGACCGGGATTACATATTGTTCAGCACTAACAAACACAAACCTTGTCTATGACCTACTGCAGTGTGAATCACTGGCAAATGAATATATAATATATATATATATATATCCTTCCTGTTCTTTCGGACATCTCCCAACCAACCAGCCTCGATCTATCTCGATCTTATATTTTTATCCTTCTTCATTCTTCCACCAGCCACGTCACACCTAAGCCATCCCCCCAATGCCACATCACCCTCCACCTTCATCCCTCATCGCCCTGCCAACGCCTCATCCCTGCTAACTGGCCCTTCTCTCCGGGCATCGGGGAGGCCAGGCTCCAGGGTGAGCGCCACGACCTCAGGGTGCTTGGTGTAGTCCTTCTCCATACCTCGGAAGCGCTTCCTTCCAGCCTCCAACAACCGTTTCCAGCCTCCAAGGTTTCTGCACCCAAGGAAGCACTTGGTTGGAGTTTCGCGCCGTTTCTGCACCCTTGCTTTCTCCAGGACATCATTTTGCCGTTCCAAGGCTTCTGCACCAAGCGGCATTGATTCAACTTGGCGGCCTGATTCTCCCCAAAGGACTCCTAGGAGGGCACTCGTTTCGTTCGTTCGTGGCACGGCGTGACATGGGCCGTGCAGTCCATCGTTCTGTGGCGTTCGGAAAAAGGGGCAGGCACGACAGAGGTGCACTGTACATGTACACGCGCACTGTAAGTGCGTCACTGTCCCTCTCATCGGTCAATAAAAGCCAGGCTTCGATGTAGCAAATCATCCGCAAGATGGAGCGCATCCTCAAGTGCCGAGCGCGTGCAACCGACCGTTCCGTCGGGGTTCCATCCGCCGACGAAGTTGACGACAGTGACTCTTCTCAAGTTGGGGGTCCAGTGGCAACGAGGAATGTAGACTCAACATGACAAGGACCTTGCCTCAGGGTCTCAGAATTTGCATCGGTTGGAGGCCATCGCCAGTAGGTTGGAGGCCATTGCTATTGGGTTGGAGGCCATTGTTTGTAGGTTGGAGGCCATTGCTTCAGGGTCAACACTACAAGGACCTTGACGGCCTTGGCCTTTGGATTCTTCCTACCAACTCCCAAAGAACCAACGGGCAGGCAACGAAAAACGTTTGGAGGGAGTGAACGCTTCGACGATGTCTGATTTATGGAATGTCTGCTGATGGGCCAAGTTCCAGTGGAAGGACCAACTCACTCCTGGAACACCTCTGGGGTCAACTCAGCTGAAGCATGTCCGTCGCACCCGGAGTAGCGATGACGCTTCAAACAAACCGTGACCCTGTCTCGGCTGTTGCTGGCAGCCACTGTGGCAGCTGCCGTGGCAGCTGCAGCTCCACTCATCCGCTACATCCGAGGCACTGAGCCTGCAACGATGGCATCTGCGCCAGCTGTTCAGCCTTGGTGGTTTCCCACTGCGGAAACTTGCTGTCGTAGCACACGTCGTAGTCCTGGCGGAAGCTAAGCAGCGATGGCCCCGAAAGACAGGGGAACCAAGGACGGAGGGTTTACTGCAGTCTGTGCAGAGGGGTTGTGGGCAAGAGCCGGCGCAAAAGGGACCACCGCATGAAGTTCTTCAAGAGATTGGACTTCCAGCCATGTCCTTCCAACGTTCACATGGAATATTCTGGAACTATCTTCCGTTTGGAGGCATTGTGTAAACATGCGTGCCTTTTCGCACAGGGTTCCAGCACGGGATGGGTGTGAGGTCAAGGGAATTTACAAAGCAAAACGCCAAGTTTCTGCATAAAAAAAGAACAGCATTGCATTGAAGAATCAATGTAGGCACGTTCTTGTTGCCATCCGAAAGACTAACAATGAAACTGGAGAACACTTGTGGAAGACGAAGATCAGGCTCCCATCGTCTGACAGGCTATCCAATTTGTTTCAACAATAAGTTACAATCAGCAAGCTACTGGTCATTCTTAAACACAAACATGGATGGCAATCATTCCCTGCAGAGCAAGCTTGGTCTTGAAGCTTGGTCCATGTCGAATTACAGGACCAGCGTCGTGTCCCCGTGGAGGACACATGGCCCTTAAAAGCACCCATCGAGAACCCGCCTCCCATGCCTTCCGCTGATTTGCCAGCTCCTGCAGTGCGGGAGAAGCTGTTCGAAACTGATCCCAAAGCCTGAACCGGCATCGCCTGGTTTCTCCATGAAGCCCCAGCTGGTTTTGAGCAAGCCCCCAAACCCCCAGCTCATGAAATCACAAGTCCTCGAGGCAAGAGGTGCCCTGCCCACTTTCCACCGGACCTTTTTTACTCATCGACCTCGCAGCGGACGGCGTCGTCCCGTTTGGCGCCTTGCACTTGGCATCCTCCGCCTGTGTGCGCGGAGCACAGCACCCAGGGATGTCCGACTCGCTCTTGGGGATGATCTCCTCATCGCGCAGCGTTGTCCGACGCTTCGCGCGAAGGACTGCGGGTGCTTCGCGAAGAAGTCTGGTGTAATTTCTCTGTTCGCAGGTGAGGTGAGGTGGGGGAGGAGGTATCTTTTGGGGGGTGAAAAGGGTCTTTGCAGCAGAATGAAGCATTCAGCATATTCATTGGTTTATTCCGGTTTGTTCCCTTGGTTTGGGTGGTTGGGCTTTGGCTGCTTATTCTAATGGGCCCAGATCAGGATCTGTTCGGGAGAAATCATTGACCACCATGACGGTCACAAATGGAGCCTTCTTTGGAGGTTGCATTTGATCACCAGACTCTGTGCATTATATAATCAGTTTCTGCGTCGAACGAGATCAGATCCATTGTGCTCAGACATTCCAAAAGTGCAGAGTGCAATCAAGGAACTCACTGAATTTCATCCATGTGCAACATGGGATGAATTCCCAAGAATCCATTTCACTGGGAGGATGTGCACTGCTTGACGCGTTCAATCCATCCTTCTTTCCAAATCTAGTGTCCAGAGATCTGCTTGGTGCTTTCAATCCCATTGCCAGAGCTGGTCTTTGGGAATAACTCATCCCACCGGAAAAGCAGCCGGACAGGGTCTGGGTTCAGGCATCTGGAAGATTGGGGGGTAGACCCCTGCAGGCACGAGTGGGAGACTCTGAGAAAAAAACACATGTAGAATGTCGATTGATAAAACCCCCCAGTTGGATGCACGCGTCCACACAATCCCTTGTCATATTGTATGACAGGTGTTGGTGGATATGGTGTGTGAGAAGGAGCTAAAAGAAAACGGTCCAGTGGAAGGCTACAGTATGTACACAACCTGAACAAGTGGGACCGAACGGAGTTCATCCTACGAGTCACAAAGGCACTGCTAACGATCTAACGATCAACGGAACAAGCGATCAGTGGCACCAATTCGGCAAATTGACTGCACACGAAGAGCAGTTGGAGCATCTAATTCAAGGGGCACAGGGATGTGTTATGGTATCGAAGTCTTTATGTCGGAACAACACGTATCTCACATGTTGTATGAGCGCGTCTTGCTTATCGCGAGATGCCTCCGGCAAACCAGGCCAGGGTGGTGGATCCGGGTTATTCGGTAGGTCCGTGGTATATAACAATGTCTGTATGGAAAGGCGGATCATGAGGCATGGATTTTAACATCTGATGAAGATGATAAGAGTAAGTCTGCATGGCATTGGGCAAATCTGGTCTGCGCGAGAGGCCTCCCTCGTGGTAGGCGGTGAACCCCAATCTAGTTACTGTAAACTCGATGTGCTGTTTGTTTTAACACTGGGAGGAGCTTGGTACGCGAGAATGGTTGAATATGCTTCACTATCCATCGAAAGTTTTCAGCTAGCACCCGGAGGGGCCGAGCCTTGGGAGGCAGGAGTTGTACTTTTGCATCATTATAGTCCAAGGTTCATTTTGTGAACTGTTTCTTGTGCCGTAGTGTCGTGTAGAGTTGCTACATAACTACATGTCTTCTATACAAACTTGCTTGTTCTTTCCTTCTTTGAGACGAACTGGAAGCATCTGGTTGGCCCAAAGCAACGAGATGTGGGATTGTAAACCCTCTTCTGCACTCGCTCGGATGTCCGCCTGAACGAAGCCCCGTGTTGAGGCGAGACACCACGAACGCCACTGTAGACTCTCAGGTCTATCAGCAGCACACAGATCGTCTATGTGAGAAAAAGGAGACACGACGAAAATCAAATTGGAAACTCCCAGCTTGGAACACCCACCCACAAGAAGGCCAGCGAAATTGGAAAGTTCATCAAGTGCAAAACGCGGAATGGCTCCAACAATAGCTCCCTGTGGCAATGCACGCCCTTCGGTTTTATTCATATGAAGAGGTTCTATTTATCAACATTCAACTTTCAACATTACATTATATTAAATTACATTAACTACCATTATTATTGTTATTAAACTATGTCATTAATATTCATTAAGTATCATTATATGACTGTACAATATACAATCGAGCTCTATGCGGTGCCCAAGATGCTCAATGATCCTTTGTGGTACAGCATACACTTCCATCCCATCCCTACCATCCAACCATTCCACCCTTTTGTCGACACCGAAAATGGCGTCGCCGCTCCTCGATGTGTCCGTCGCAGTTCTTGAAGCATCGCTCGGCGGTGCCCAGGATGTCTTGACATCGGTGAGTGAGGTTGTAGCCTGGGTGCGAGCGAGGTGTAGCCGCGAGTCAGTGGGGGAATGAAAAAGGTTGCCACCTCCAGTGGCCCATAAAGACGATGAATCGACGATGAATGACTAAGAGTCTAGGAGCGTTGCTTTCTTCAAATGTTGATATGAAGTTCCTCCATCCAAGAGGGTTTCACATGTTTCACTGGTGTTGTCATTGGTCAAGCAGTTGGGCCACCCAAACAATAGGTGCTTCATGGTGCTTGATGGACAGAAATAGATGTCAGGCGATGTCAGGACAAAAGCCATGTTGGCCCACCAACAATTTCAACATCTGGTTCTCCTGAGGCTGTTTTCGTTTCAGTTGATATTGTTCGACTGGTCCATCGTTTGGTTGGGTCGTAGGTCATTTGATGTCAATTGCCTCATCCGCACCACTTGTAGCACATTGGCTCGATAGACCTCCAGGACCGATACCCACATTGAGTTTGTGCCATTGAGTTCGTTGGAGATCGAGATACACATGGACAGAATTCACCGGACGGTCCAGCTTCACCGCTCGAGACCGCTTCTCCCGGTGTTTTGGGCCACCACACAACGGGTTGATCCCGAGGATCGAAGCTTCGACCAAACGATCCATGAGAGCGCATAGAGTTCATCCCCCCTGGTGGAGTTGGGCTGTTGGTTTGGTTTCAGCAGAACTCTCAGGTGATGCTGACTGTTGATTCAGGGGGTGAGAGTCTCAGATCGGCTCGGAGTGATCTGGTGTGTCTTCGGACCTGATCGTTTTCCCCATGCGCGTTCCGTGCGGAATCCTTCGGTGTTCGACTCGGAGTTCGATTTTCTCCCCAAAAAAACAGCAACAGGTCTTGATCTGGTTTGGATTTGGGTTCATGTTGATCAAGACCTGTTCAGAAGCACCCGCATCTAATTGATCTCCCACAACATGGAGACGTCGCAAAACCAGGTGGCTTCACCCCAGTCGCCTCGCAATTCCTCTCCCCTGAAAAAAAGGAGGCAACTCCGAATTCGGGAGGGATCTTCCAGTGGTCGGCCTGGCGCGCAATGGTCGGCACGCGTTTTCTGGCCCAGAAACGTCCAGGGCCACTGCGCGCCAGTTGAAGGGCCTCGATCTGCCCCTGGCAGCACAAGGCGCGGTGCAGCGCTGACCAAAAGCGTGCGCTGCACGAGCGCTGGAGCCGTTCAAGGTCACCGTGCTCAGTGAAACTAACAACATCTTGGGAGGGGGTTGAGATGGTCACTTAGTCATTTCCAAGCTGGTCGAGTCGTGAGAACAGGAAACTCAAAACTGCTGGTCATGAGGCAGGGGAGGCCAAATGCACGTGTCATCCACAACTCTTGAGCAACTGTCCTGAAGCAACAGTTGTTTGCCGTTTGCTCCGCCACTGAGAAAACCCAGAATAGGAGGACAAAGATAGAAAAAAGACACCATGAAGCGATGGCGGGCATCTTTGACCCCGGTCATGCCCTCATAGTTTGAGAAGCCCAATGAAATCCCAATCTGTCCGGATACACCTCCCACGTCACCCCCGCGCTCCGTGGTCAGCTCACGGCGCAAGCTTGCTTGCATGCGCGCGCGCGCGCAGTGGCTCGGACCTTGATGTCAGAGATCATCCGGTCCAAGAAGGCCTTGTAGCCCTCGCCGCTCACGGGGGCGCAGTCCAAGGGGCCACACTGGAGGCCCAGGTTGGTGCAGTTCTCACCCATGATCTTCACCTGGAAGCACTGGAAGTCGCAAAAAACGATGCAAAATGATGCTTGGATGGGAGCGGTGAAAGTGACCCAGCAAACTGACCATTCAAAGGCGAAAAGAGAAAGGAACTGTTGCAAGTTGCAAGAGGAAGACAACCCACACCTTTTTGATCCATATTTGACATGATATCTGTCACCCTGTTCCTTTCAAACGACTTCCCTTGCCCTTTCCCGGCACCTGGGAAGTGCAGTAGTAGTCACAAGCGGTGAGGTCGGCTGCCACCTGGGAGGACGGAATGGACACCCCCGACTCGGGCTGGAACGGGACCCCGTCAACCGTGGGTCTCGCGGGGACTCGCTGGGTGTGCCAGTGGGTCTCGGTGCCTCAGTGGGTCTCCAGCACCAGCTCAGGGTGCCCATCTCCCCAGCTCAAGGTGCCCATCTCCAGCTCCCAAGTGCCGATAGACCGAAGCCCGATGAACACTGCCAGTCAAACTGACCACCTCTTAGCTGCACCAAACGGCAGGGCACCAAACGATAGGTCGGCTCAAGTCATGTGCCAAGGCACTTGTCCCTCCCATGCCTTGCATTGGCTGTAGGCCTGAAAGTAGGCCTCATACCATGGGGTGCTGTTCGCCTGGACCGAAGACTGAACCGAGTCGATCGGCATCGAGGGTCCGATGGCCTCTATTGATCCGATACACATCTTCTTCAAGCCTTCCTTATCTTCCTTTCAACTCTTAACTGCGCCTTTTTCTCCCATGTGCCAGCCTTCCAAGTCCCTCCCACTCCCTCAATCCCTCCTCTTTGGACCATACAAAAAGCAGCCGAACAAAGACTGCTCTTCCACGTGCCTGCAGGAGGGAGGCCTTGGGGAAGCGCACAGGATCGGCTTTCTCGTAAGCCAAGCGGCACTGGGCAAACCTCAGCGTCGGCGTCGGCTCGCCGACTCGGTGGGTCGAACAAGGCTGAGCGTCGCCGGGAGGAAACCGTTGTTCTGGCATGTTCTGGCGATGGGATGAATCCCCACATTCTATAAGTGGAAGTTATTCCAACCATTAGATTGATGGGCTTTCAACTGAACAATTTAACAAGTATAATTACTGTACTGTTTTTCAGGATTTAAGACGACATCACAAGGTCAACCTTTCTTTTGGTCTTGGAAGGCTAGACATAGGCTTGTAAAGGCTGACTTTTACACCGACCTAGTTAGCGCAATCCGGCAGAGCGAGGAAAAATAAGCCCAGAACGTTTGGGGAAAGGCCATTGAACTCGATGATTCTCTTTTGACCAACCCAGTGATTGAAAACTGCTTGCTCCAGTAGGAACAAAGTGTCATCAGTACTGAATCACCACCATGCAAAAGAACAACAAAAGAAAACGAGCCAACATGCATATTAATTGCAGTATCTAACAACACCACCAGTATCACCTAGTCATAGTATGTCATAGTCATGGTTCTCGAACGCCCACGTTATTCCCGCCAATCCACCCTTTCCTCCATTCCTAGCAACTCATGCTTGGATTCCTCGATCGCCTGAACGCTCTTCTCAAAGGACTCCTTCACATGGCCTGGAACGCGGGCACCGCCCACAAGCTATTCCCCGACGGATGCGGCCACGCGCCCGGGCTGTGATGACCCGCAGCGACCCGTCCAGCGTGACTCCACAAGACGCTGGACGGTGGGGAGCCATGGGGACCAAAAGCAACTCCACTCTGGTCTGGTGGCTTCACTCCGCTGTTTTGTTTTTGAATGGTCCCACAGGCCGGTGTCACCGGTGGAAGTCCCCGGGATCTTTTACAGGTCATCCCCAGAACCCGGAGAGTGGAAAACATTGAAACACCAGCGGCGGCAGGCAGCCACTTTTCTCAACCGCAGACGGTCTAAAATTATCCAAAAACATGAACACCTGAAGACAAGACCCTTCATATCCTGCATCCCTCTTCACCCTTGTGTTTGTCATGGTACCTGTTAACTTGGGACCACAACCCGTCCGCGCCTTTCATGTTCTTCTCCAACAAGTCCTTGATGGTGCCGATGATGGCGGAGTTGTTGGCGGCGGTGCCCGTGCCGTTGGTTTTCAGCAGGTCCGTCAAAGCGCCCGCCACCGACTTCAAGTGGGGATCCGCCACCTCCGCCTGTGGTAGATTGGTCGCCGATTGCAGGGATGGCAGGTGGGAGGGGGCCGCTTTTTTCAGAGGGGAGGCTGAATAGTAGCTTGGTTTGAGCTTGGGAAAGCCGGAAGAATGTCAGGCTGATTGGCAGGCTTTTATGTGTCAGGTCATCCTTTTGACAGCTGTTCCCCGAAGAACTCAGATCTTCTAACTCTTTCCTTTACTCCGTGTTTGATCCTGTTTGACCCAGTGGTTTCTTTACCGCATCAACACCCAGTCAGCGAGTCGTCTGCGGTGTCTGCCGTGTTCGGACACGTGGTCGGACCGTTGAGCGGCTTTAATGATATAGCGAAGGAGACCGTCCATGGATGGACCGAAGACCTCGTCCAGTTGGTGTTGTCAAACCACCCTGAAAAGTCTTTGAGCTCTTAATTCATAAACCACCCAAGGAGTTGTAGAAGTGCAGTATTTCACATGATAGCCTGTTGACCTGAAAATCTTATCCTGCAACCATGCTCCAAGGCCCCAAACATCCCTGCAAGGGGGAACATACCTATTTCAACTAAATCCCTCCCGAGTAATGTGGTCCCTGGATTTATAAACGCCCCTAGAATAATGTCGTGTTTTTTCCTGCACAGATTAATAAAGGCCCCCAGAATAATGTTTTTTTTTGGGGGAGGGATAGTTGTAGTGGAATATGTTTAATTCTTATAGTTTACTTTTTCCCTTTTGAGTTTGCTGGGATTTGCTTATCTTACAGGCTTTTGGATGGAGATGTCTATTAAACATTTGAAGATGTCCCTTTCTTTTCCTTTTGGTTTGCATTACTTACCTAAGCTCTTTAGTCTTTAAGCTGTCCAAAAGTTTCCAAAAGTCAGTGCACTCTTTCTTTACAAAATCCCGTATTCAAAAGTATGAAAAAACAAAAAACATTCAAGCAAAGGGGGTAGTCCAGCAAGCAGCTTTCTGACATTATTTAGGGGGGGCCCTAGAATAATGTCTAGAGATTTCAGGCTTAAAAACATATTTTGCTTTAAGTAAACTTGTATTCATTCCCGTTCTTTTCCTTTTGGTTTGCTTTACTTACCTAAGCTCTTTAGTCGTTAAGCTTTCCAAAAGTTTCCAAAAGTCAGTGCACTCTTTCTTTACAAAATCCCGTATTCAAAAGTATTGAAAAAAAAAGTAAAAAAACATTCAAGCAAAGGGGGTAGTCCAGCAAGCAGCTTTCTGACATTATTTAGGGGGGGCCCCTAGAAGAATGTCTAGAGATTTCAGGCTTAAAAACATATTTTGCTTTAAGTAAACTTGTATTCATTCCCTTTCTTTTCCTTTTGGTTTGCTTTACTTACCTAAGCTCTTTAGTCTTTAAGCTTTCCAAAAGTTTCCAAAAGTCAGTGCACTCTTTCTTTACAAAATCCCGTATTCAAAAGTATTGAGAAAACAAAAAAAACATTCAAGCAAAGGGGGTAGTCCAGCAAGCAGCTTTCTGACATTATTCTAGGG